CCCCCCCCCCCCCCTCCAAAAAAAAAGCAATTCCCAAGTCCCAGTAATAGTGAGAAACATCAATTTTCTCCTAACAATCTTGATCCATATTTAAGAGAAAAGGTTATGAGAATAAATAACCTGATCAATGGAACGTAAGGTACAGCGTTAACAAGCTTTGCATTTTTTAATTATCTTGTGTTTTGTAACTTACAGCCCCTACGTGTGACGTGCAATCTCAAAACCGTTATGAATGTGGATGGCTTGGAATCGATAGACAAACCTGCTTGAGGAGAGGCTGTTGCTGGGATGAAAGCGATCCAAACGCAAAGTACTGCTACGTTAAAGGACACACGAGTAAGCCTTGATTAGGTGACAGTGCAGCTAAGAGAGGCACTGTAAAAAAGTTTGGTGACCGCATTTTTGCGACTCAAAAGCCTGCATTCTCGCAAGTTTTCGAAACACGTCACAAACTTACGCTTAAGGATATGAGCTCCTGACGCTTAACGTTTCCTTGAAGAAGGAAAATTGATTCGACGACTTCGTAACCAGGAGCAAATATTTTCCAGTTAAAAGTTTTTTTTCCTTTTGAAACAATTGAAGATAAATTTGCATTAATGGCAACCCAAAGATGTTACTTTTGTTACAGTACCATACAATAGATATAGAATACAATGCAATGCAACGTGATTCAATAAGATAAATTCAAATAATATGTAGATTTATAAAACTGTCTTTCAAAGCAAATTTTTCTGAGCCTGCGATCACTTGAATACCTTCACTCGTCTGCGGAAAACTATAAAAAAACATGTCTCCTCACAGTTGTACACCTGAGCTCGCAATACAGTCATGTGACACTGGTCAGCGGGTATTCTATGACAGTTGACAGCTGTTAATTGATCATGGATGTAGGGTAAGACACTTAACATCCGCTTACATGAGCGGGTGGACGTACGCAAGTACGTACGAACGATTTTCTCAGAACCAAAATTTCTTGGATGCATGGATAACCGAATTTTCATGGTGCTCCGTTGCTCTAGAGGTCCACCATAAATACGTACTATTATTTTGTTAAGAATCATCACTGGTTAATAAAGGGTATACGGATGTTAAAATCTATACAGATCTTCCTGATGGACTTTGTCCCGTGGCTCCATCTGAACGTGTGGAATGTGGATATTATGGGATAACAAAGGAGGAATGTCTTAACAGAGCATGCTGCTGGGATGAAACAGTGACAGCGTTCGGTGCTAGGTGGTGCTTCAAACAGCCGAGTAAGTTGAGTTCGTCAAGTAAAAGTCCACGGTACACGTTTAATCATGCTGTACAAAGTCATATATTCGGGGCTTAAAGGAGCTGTGTCACGAAATTCAGCCAAATGGGGAAATTACAAAGTGCCCGTTAAATTAAGAGAAACATAAAATAACCGCTTAAAACATCAAAGGAAGGTTAAAATAACATAACAGAAACAACAGATGCCACGGATGGGCAAAACTGTAGAAGATTGAAAAGGATTGAAATTAGGGTTCTTGAAAACTGTTCAGCCTAACAGTTTTTCGAAGTTGATCCCTGCTGCTTGCAACTTCAAAAATAATGCTCAGGAGGCATATTTGTTTGTCTCGGATATCTGATTTTGTCATTTACCTGTAACTTCTTACTTTAAGTTCCATAGCGATTGAGGGCGAGTAATTGGCAAAATTAAACAAAATGAACTGGACTGCCGTGACACAGCCCCTTTAACTCGGTGGTAAAACGGCCAACAAAAACGTGCAACTTGTTTTGCAAAATTACTGCAAACGATTTGAATAGCGATGTTGCTTGTTTTACCACCCACCTTCAAACCTGTCTTGCAACAAATCAGGTTCTTGATGGTTGCAAAAAAAGGTGGTTGCAGAAAGTAGAGAGTAGTTCTACTTTTTGTAACAACATCTGTACATGTTGCGCGATTTAACGTTACAGCCCAACCTCGTCCTCACGGTCCACTGATTTTTTTTTTTTGTAACAGGAGTTTAGGTTTAGCAACCAACCAAATTACGACAAGCAATGAGCACCTTACGAGTTTCAGTCTGCCAATCAAAAGCATCATCTTTTCCAAATGAGGACATAACCCACACAACCTAAATATAGAACATGATGCAGGGGCGAATCCAGGATTTTTTTTAGCAGGGGGTGCACTCGTCTCTTGCTCTACTTCAACACCAATAAACCACATAGTCTTTTTTTTTGCAGAATACCAGTTGTATTAGAAAACCGCAGGTTATCTCGGGGGGGGGGGGGGGGGC